CATTTGACTAGACCCTCCCCACACCAGCATACCTGAAAACATGGCTATAGGTTAACATTTGACTAGACCCCCACCAGCATACCTAAAGAAAACATGGCTATAGGTTAACATTTGACTAGACCCCCACCAGCATACCTGGAAAACATGACTATAGGTTAACATTTGACTAGACCCCCCCCCCCCCACCAGCATACCTGGAAAACATGACTATAGGTTAACATTTGACTAGACCCCCCTCCCAGCATACCTGGAAAACATGGCTATAGGTTAACATTTGACTAGACCCCCACCAGCATACCTAAAGAAAACATGGCTATAGGTTAACATTTGACTAGACCCCCACCAGCATACCTGGAAAACATGGCTATAGGTTAACATTTGACTAGACCCCCACCAGCATACCTGGAAAACATGGCTATAGGTTAACATTTGACTAGACCCCCACCAGCATACCTGGAAAACATGGCTATAGGTTAACATTTGACTAGACCCCCACCAGCATACGTAAAGAAAACATGGCTATAGGTTAACATTTGACTAGACTCCCACCAGCATACCTGGAAAACATGGCTATAGGTTAACATTTGACTAGACCCCCACCAGCATACCTGGAAAACATGGCTATAGGTTAACATTTGACTAGACCCCCACCAGCATACCTAAAGAAAACATGGCTATAGGTTAACATTTGACTAGACCCCCACCAGCATACCTGGAAAACATGGCTATAGGTTAACATTTGACTAGACCCCCACCAGCATACCTGGAAAACATGGCTATAGGTTAACATTTGACTAGACCCCCCCCCCCCAGCATACCTGGAAAACATGGCTATAGGTTAACATTTGACTAGACCCCCACCAGCATACCTGGAAAACATGGCTATAGGTTAACATTTGACTAGACCCCCACCAGCATACATGGAAAACATGGCTATAGGTTAACATTTGACTAGACCCCCACCAGCATACCTGGAAAACATGGCTATAGGTTAACATTTGACTAGACCCCCCCACCAGCATACCTGAAAACATGGCTATAGGTTAACATTTGACTAGACCCCCACCAGCATACCTAAAGAAAACATGGCTATAGGTTAACATTTGACTAGACTCCCACCAGCATACCTGGAAAACATGGCTATAGGTTAACATTTGACTAGACCCCCACCAGCATACCTAAAGAAAACATGGCTATAGGTTAACATTTGACTAGACCCCCACCAGCATACCTGGAAAACATGGCTATAGGTTAACATTTGACTAGACCCCCACCAGCATACCTGGAAAACATGGCTATAGGTTAACATTTGACTAGACCCCCACCAGCATACCTGGAAAACATGGCTATAGGTTAACATTTGACTAGACCCCCACCAGCATACCTGGAAAACATGACTATAGGTTAACATTTGACTAGACCCCCACCAGCATACCTAAAGAAAACATGGCTATAGGTTAACATTTGACTAGACCCCCACCAGCATACCTGGAAAACATGGCTATAGGTTAACATTTGACTAGACCCCCACCAGCATACCTGGAAAACATGACTATAGGTTAACATTTGACTAGACCCCCACCAGCATACCTAAAGAAAACATGGCTATAGGTTAACATTTGACTAGATCCCCACCAGCATACCTAAAGAAAACATGGCTATAGGTTAACATTTGACTAGCCCCCCACCAGCATACCTGGAAAACATGGCTATAGGTTAACATTTGACTAGACCCCCACCAGCATACCTGGAAAACATGACTATAGGTTAACATTTGACTAGACCCCCCCCCCACCAGCATACCTGGAAAACATGACTATAGGTTAACATTTGACTAGACCCCCACCAGCATACCTGGAAAACATGGCTATAGGTTAACATTTGACTAGACCCCCCTCCCAGCATACCTGGAAAACATGGCTATAGGTTAACATTTGACTAGACCCCCACCAGCATACCTAAAGAAAACATGGCTATAGGTTAACATTTGACTAGACCCCCACCAGCATACCTGGAAAACATGGCTATAGGTTAACATTTGACTAGACCCCCACCAGCATACCTGGAAAACATGGCTATAGGTTAACATTTGACTAGACCCCCACCAGCATACCTGGAAAACATGGCTATAGGTTAACATTTGACTAGACCCCCACCAGCATACCTAAAGAAAACACGGCTATAGGTTAACATTTGACTAGACTCCCACCAGCATACCTGGAAAACATGGCTATAGGTTAACATTTGACTAGACCCCCACCAGCATACCTGGAAAACATGGCTATAGGTTAACATTTGACTAGACCCCCACCAGCATACCTAAAGAAAACATGGCTATAGGTTAACATTTGACTAGACCCCCACCAGCATACCTGGAAAACATGGCTATAGGTTAACATTTGACTAGACCCCCACCAGCATACCTGGAAAACATGGCTATAGGTTAACATTTGACTAGACCCCCCCCCAGCATACCTGGAAAACATGGCTATAGGTTAACATTTGACTAGACCCCCACCAGCATACCTGGAAAACATGGCTATAGGTTAACATTTGACTAGACCCCCACCAGCATACATGGAAAACATGGCTATAGGTTAACATTTGACTAGACCCCCACCAGCATACCTGGAAAACATGGCTATAGGTTAACATTTGACTAGACCCCCCCCCACCAGCATACCTGAAAACATGGCTATAGGTTAACATTTGACTAGACCCCCACCAGCATACCTAAAGAAAACATGGCTATAGGTTAACATTTGACTAGACCCCCCCCACCAGCATACCTGGAAAACATGACTATAGGTTAACATTTGACTAGACCCCCACCAGCATACCTAAAGAAAACATGACTATAGGTTAACATTTGACTAGACCCCCACCAGCATACCTGGAAAACATGGCTATAGGTTAACATTTGACTAGACCCCCACCAGCATACCTGGAAAACATGGCTATAGGTTAACATTTGACTAGACCCCCACCAGCATACCTGGAAAACATGGCTATAGGTTAACATTTGACTAGACCCCCACCAGCATACCTGGAAAACATGGCTATAGGTTAACATTTGACTAGACCCCCACCAGCATACCTGGAAAACATGGCTATAGGTTAACATTTGACTAGACCCCCACCAGCATACCTGGAAAACATGGCTATAGGTTAACATTTGACTAGACTCCCACCAGCATACCTGGAAAACATGGCTATAGGTTAACATTTGACTAGACCCCCACCAGCATACCTGGAAAACATGACTATAGGTTAACATTTGACTAGACCCCCACCAGCATACCTAAAGAAAACATGGCTATAGGTTAACATTTGACTAGACCCCCACCAGCATACCTGGAAAACATGGCTATAGGTTAACATTTGACTAGACCCCCACCAGCATACCTAAAGAAAACATGGCTATAGGTTAACATTTGACTAGCCCTTCACCAGCATACCTAAAGAAAACATGGCTATAGGTTAACATTTGACTAGCCCCCCACCAGCATACCTGGAAAACATGGCTATAGGTTAACATTTGACTAGACCCCCACCAGCATACCTGAAAACATGGCTATAGGTTAACATTTGACTAGACCCCCCCCCCACCAGCATACCTGAAAACATGGCTATAGGTTAACATTTGACTAGACCCCCCCAGAATACCTAAAGAAAACATGGCTATAGGTTAACATTTGACTAGACCCCCACCAGCATACCTAAAGAAAACATGACTATAGGTTAACATTTGACTAGACCCCCACCAGCATACCTGGAAAACATGGCTATAGGTTAACATTTGACTAGACCCCCACCAGCATACCTAAAGAAAACATGGCTATAGGTTAACATTTGACTAGACCCCCACGAGCATACCTGGAAAACATGACTATAGGTTAACATTTGACTAGACCCCCACCAGCATACATGGAAAACATGGCTATAGGTTAACATTTGACTAGACCCCCACCAGCATACCTGGAAAACATGGCTATAGGTTAACATTTGACTAGACCCCCACCAGCATACCTGGAAAACATGACTATAGGTTAACATTTGACTAGACCCCCCCCACCAGCATACCTGGAAAACATGACTATAGGTTAACATTTGACTAGACCCCCACCAGCATACCTAAAGAAAACATGACTATAGGTTAACATTTGACTAGACCCCCACCAGCATACCTAAAGAAAACATGGCTATAGGTTAACATTTGACTAGACCCCCACCAGCATACCTGGAAAACATGGCTATAGGTTAACATTTGACTAGACCCCCACCAGCATACCTGGAAAACATGACTATAGGTTAACATTTGACTAGACCCCCCCCAGAATACCTAAAGAAAACATGGCTATAGGTTAACATTTGACTAGACCCCCACCAGCATACCTGGAAAACATGGCTATAGGTTAACATTTGACTAGACCCCCACCAGCATACCTAAAGAAAACATGGCTATAGGTTAACATTTGACTAGACCCCCACCAGCATACCTAAAGAAAACATGGCTATAGGTTAACATTTGACTAGCCCCCCACCAGCATACCTGGAAAACATGGCTATAGGTTAACATTTGACTAGACCCCCACCAGCATACCTGAAAACATGGCTATAGGTTAACATTTGACTAGACCCCCCCCCCCCCCCCACCAGCATACCTGAAAACATGGCTATAGGTTAACATTTGACTAGACCCCCCCCCCAGAATACCTAAAGAAAACATGGCTATAGGTTAACATTTGACTAGACCCCCACCAGCATACCTAAAGAAAACATGACTATAGGTTAACATTTGACTAGACCCCCACCAGCATACCTGGAAAACATGGCTATAGGTTAACATTTGACTAGACCCCCACCAGCATACCTAAAGAAAACATGACTATAGGTTAACATTTGACTAGACCCAATACACATAGCCCCCCCCCCCCCTCCCATCTACCTAACTGGGTAAGGGTTAGAGTTTACTGTTTAAAAAGACACCAAAAACCAACCTAGGAAAACAATGGAGTTGAGCAAGCCTTTATCAGCTGAGGTCAAGGCCAAATCACAGGTTGCAGATGGCAGCAAGAAGCTAATGGACAAGACTTCAATGGCATCACTGGACACTGCCCAACCACACAGCAGCAGCAAGCACAGATGGAAGCGCCCAAAACCTGCAGATGAGACCAGTGCCATTTATTACAGCATCGTGTGGATGGGCATCAAGGTTTTATGTGGGCATCAAGGCTTTATGTGGTATGTGTTTCTGTATGTGATGTCATTATATGTCATGTAGTAAGTTGTGATTGTATGTCATGTAGAGAGTTATTCTATTGTAAAAGAGTGGTTTCAGTAAGTTATAAGGGCCTTGAAAAGGTTCTGTCTTGCTTCTGTTTTATTGTAGCCATAAGTTCATGATTGTGTTAGCTACAGCCTAGTGTGTAGTGTATTAAGTGCCACTGCATTCTTGTGTATGTGGATCACTGTGTTTTAGTACTTCTAGAATATTTAGTAGATTTGTGCTTGCTATCGAATGGTGCTGCCCACCACCAATCAAGAACCACAAATTCACTTACCACATAGAAGAAGAGCATCTTCAAAGATCGTGATCTTGCTCTTTTCACCTGAAACTAGAACCAACAAACAAAACTATAAGCACTACTTTAAGAGTATGACTTCTCCTAGTTTTAATACAGTTATGTATGTGTGTGTTTAAACTCTTCAAGTTGAATGTATCAGGAGGTTATATGTAAAAATCTTTTTCAGCTTAAACATTTGAAAGCTCCTAAACCCAACACCCAGTGTTTTCCCTCCCCCTCTGCCCTTTTCCCTCCCTCCCTAACACCCCAGGCCCAAACATAACGGGTCAGTTGAAAGACAACTCTGGATGGCCCAGATGACAAAAGTTGATCAAGTTTAAAACCACTTCAAACTTACAGCTCCTCTTACTGTCAACTGTTGCGTCATCAGCTAGAAGCTGACTCCTCTCATCTACAGCTGACTCCATTAAATCAGACGAGTCCCAGCCAGTCTCAACACAATGTACTAAAAATAGATGGAACTAGTCACACAAATCATAAGGGCTTAAGTATTACAAACACAACAGTGTTGGAACTAGTCACACAAATCATAAGGGCTTAAGTATTACAAACACAACAGTGTTGGGACTGGTCACACAAATCATAAGGGCTTAAGTATTACAAACACAACAGTGTTGGAACTGGTCACACAAATCATAAGGGCTTAAGTATTACAAACACAACAGTGTTGGAACTAGTCACACAAATCATAAGGGCTTAAGTATTACAAACACAACAGTGTTGGAACTAGTCACACAAATCATAAGGGCTTAAGTATTACAAACACAACAAAGTGTAACACATGTGTCTGTACATCTGTACCACATCTGTACAACTGTACCACATGCCTGTACAACTGTACCACATGTCTGTACAACTGTACCACATGTCTGTACAACTGTACCACGTGCCTGTACAACTGTACCACATGCCTGTACAACTGTACCACATGTCTGTACAACTGTACCACATGTCTGTACAACTGTACCACATCTGTACAACTGTACCATGTGTCTGTACAACTGTACCACATCTGTACAACTGTACCACATCTGTACAACTGTACCACATGTCTGTACAACTGTACCACATGTCTGTACAACTGTACCATGTTTATGTACAACTGTACCACATCTGTACAACTGTACCACATGTCTGTACAACTGTACCACATGCCTGTACATGTCTGTACAACTGTACCACATCTGTACAACTGTACCACATGTCTGTACAACTGTACCACATGCCTGTACATGTCTGTACAACTGTACCACATGTCTGTACAACTGTACCACATGTCTGTACAACTGTACCACATGGCTGTACATGTCTGTACAGCTGTACCACATGTCTGTACAACTGTACCACATCTGTACAACTGTACCACATGCCTGTACATGTCTGTACAACTGTACCACATGCCTGTACATGTCTGTACAACTGTACCACATGTCTGTACAACTGTACCATGTATCTGTACAACTGTACCACATGTCTGTACAACTGTACCACATGTCTGTACAACTGTACCACATCTGTACAACTGTACCACATCTGTACAACTGTACCACATGTCTGTACAACTGTACCACATGTCTGTACAACTGTACCACATGTCTGTACAACTGTACCACATGTCTGTACAACTGTACCACATGTCTGTACAACTGTACCACATGTCTGTACAACTGTACCACATGTCTGTACAACTGTACCACATGTCTGTACAACTGTACCACATGCCTGTACATGTCTGTACAACTGTACCACATGTCTGTACAACTGTACCACATGTCTGTACAACTGTACCACATGTCTGTACAACTGTACCATGTATCTGTACAACTGTACCACATCTGTACAACTGTACCACATGTCTGTACAACTGTACCACATGTCTGTACAACTGTACCACATCTGTACAACTGTACCACATCTGTACAACTGTACCACATGTCTGTACAACTGTACCACATGTCTGTACAACTGTACCACATGTCTGTACAACTGTACCACATGTCTGTACAACTGTACCACATCTGTACAACTGTACCACATCTGTACAACTGTACCACATGTCTGTACAACTGTACCACATGCCTGTACATGCCTGTACAACTGTACCACGTCTGTACAAATGTACCAAGAATTGCACACCAAGTAAATGCCAAACAAAATGTGTATAATAATGTGGAATATTATTAGTACTTTATAAATTCACATGCGTTTTGAGAAATCGGAAATTAATGTTTGACTCCACTCTCAGTGGTAAACATAAATGATCACCTCAGTCACCTACATGATCACCTCAGTCACCTGCATGATCACCTCAGTCACCTACATGATCACCTCAGTCACCTACATGATCACCTCAGTCACCTACATGATCACCTCAGTCACCTACATGATCACCTCAGTCACCTACATGATCACCTCAGTCACCTACATGATCACCTCAGTCACCTACATGATCACCTCAGTCACCTACATGATCACCTCAGTCACCTACATGATCACCTCAGTCACCTACATGATCACCTCAGTCACCTACATGATTACCTCAGTCACCTACATGATCACCTCAGTCACCTACATGATCACCTCAGTAACCTATATGATCAACTTGGTCACCTACATGATCAACTCGGTCACCTACATGATCATGAGATTACTACCAAATTGTGTTATCTCCACTTTTGTTATTGAATTTAGTTATCTTTTAATTATCTTTAAGTAGCTTATTTTATTGTTGAATAAAAATACAATTTTCTTGTGTTATCACCCATCAAGAGAAAGGAAGTGATCTAAAAAGTTGGAATGTAATGGCTATATTGAGAGATTTGATCACTTTGACATCAATAAAAGCTGGTACAAAATGTGACTTCTTTCCTACCTTTTTTATGTTTGTCATTAATTCTAAAATTATAGGTGGTCATCTAAATGAGTCTTAATTATCACACAATAAAAACAGTTATAAAATGAAAGGTAACCATTTAAAGTTATCAGCAAAACACAGCTCTACGCACTGTGTTAGTAGACCTGAGAACTGGAGCAAGAGAAATATTTTGCCATGTCATTCAAGCACACACCATAACAGAGAGTGACATCATTACAACAGCTGGTATCACATGATATCAGCATTCATGGAGATAGTTATTACACATGTAATGAGCCACACAGTTTACACATTACAAATGTATGACTTAACTAATGAATCACTCTGTATACAATACTCAAATGTATGACTTAACTAATGAATCACTCTGTATACAATACTCAAATGTATGACTTAACTAATGAAGCACTCTGTATACAATACTCAAATGTATGACTTAACATAGACCTGAGGGAAGAGATAAGCCTATTCTTAATGTTTTGAAAGGTTTCTTGAGCCCTACACACTACTATAGTTGCACAAGAGAATGAATGGTTTTTTTAAACTAGTTTTTAGTGAAACTGAAAGCTGAATGTATGTTTTTATATTTTACTTGATAACTGTAAAAATAACACTTTAACAATATGTTTAAATTTGAAAAACAAGTCCCAAGGTTGTTTTCTTGTTTAAGTTTTCTCGTTAGTCAAGTATTTTCAGGTGTTTATTAGCATCCAACTGGCCTACATTATCACCAACTGACAAGGTTGTTTAAGTTTTCTTGTTAGTCAAGTATTTTCAGGTGTTTATTAGCATCCAACTGGCCTACATTATCACCAACTGACAAGGTTGTTTAAGTTTTCTTGTTAGTCAAGTATTTTCAGGTGTTTATTAGCATCCAACTGGCCTACATTATCACCAACTGACAAGGTTGTTTAAGTTTTCTCGTTAGTCAAGTATTTTCAGGTGTTTATTAGCATCCAACTGGCCTACATTATCACCAACTGACAAGGTTGTTTAAGTTTTCTTGTTAGTCAAGTATTTTCAGGTGTTTATTAGCATCCAACTGGCCTACATTATCACCAACTGACAAGGTTGTTTAAGTTTTCTCGTTAGTCAAGTATTTTCAGGTGTTTATTAGCATCCAACTGGCCTACATTATCACCAACTGACAAGGTTGTTTAAGTTTTCTTGTTAGTCAAGTATTTTCAGGTGTTTATTAGCATCCAACTGGCCTACATTATCACCAACTGACAAGGTTGTTTAAGTTTTCTTGTTAGTCAAGTATTTTCAGGTGTTTATTAGCATCCAACTGGCCTACATTAACACCAACTGAATTGAGTCCATTTTGACAAAGCGAGTGACACAGAAAAGGCTTGGACTAGTCAGTAGAGATAAACACTGACCACTCAAATAGGATAGAACCACTAGATGGTGTTGCCTATATTGGACTAGTCAGTAGAGATAAACACTGACCACTCAAATAGGGTAGAACCACTAGATGGTGTTGCCTATATTGGACTAGTCAGTAGAGATAAACACTGACCACTCAAATAGGGTAGAACCACTAGATGGTGTTGCCTATATTGGACTAGTCAGTAGAGATAAACACTGACCACTAAAATAGGATAGAACCACTAGATGGTGTTGCCTATATTGGACTAGTCAGTAGAGATAAACACTGACCACTCAAATAGGATAGAACCACTAGATGGTGTTGCCTATATTGGACTAGTCAGTAGAGATAAACACTGACCACTCAAATAGGATAGAACCACTAGATGGTGTTGCCTATATTGGACTAGTCAGTAGAGATAAACACTGACCACTCAAATAGGGTAGAACCACTAGATGGTGTTGCCTATATTGGACTAGTCAGTAGAGATAAACACTGACCACTCAAATAGGGTAGAACCACTAGATGGTGTTGCCTATATTGGACTAGTCAGTAGAGATAAACACTGACCACTCAAATAGGGTAGAACCACTAGATGGTGTTGCCTATATTGGACTAGTCAGTAGAGATAAACACTGACCACTAAAATAGGATAGAACCACTAGATGGTGTTGCCTATATTGGACTAGTCAGTAGAGATAAACACTGACCACTCAAATAGGATAGAACCACTAGATGGTGTTGCCTATATTGGACTAGTCAGTAGAGATAAACACTGACCACTCAAATAGGATAGAACCACTAGATGGTGTTGCCTATATTGGACTAGTCAGTAGAGATAAACACTGACCACTCAAATAGGGTAGAACCACTAGATGGTGTTGCCTATATTGGACTAGTCAGTAGAGATAAACACTGACCACTCAAATAGGGTAGAACCACTAGATGGTGTTGCCTATATTGGACTAGTCAGTAGAGATAAACACTGACCACTCAAATAGGATAGAACCACTAGATGGTGTTGCCTATATTGGACTAGTCAGTAGAGATAAACACTGACCACTCAAATAGGATAGAACCACTAGATGGTGTTGCCTATATTGGACTAGTCAGTAGAGATAAACACTGACCACTCAAATAGGATAGAACCACTAGATGGTGTTGCCTATATTGGACTAGTCAGTAGAGATAAACACTGACCACTCAAATAGGATAGAACCACTAGATGGTGTTGCCTATATTGGACTAGTCAGTAGAGATAAACACTGACCACTCAAATAGGATAGAACCACTAGATGGTGTTGCCTATAAACATATGTAGTAGCTACATACACTTGGTTTTTATATGAAATAGACAACATAAAGTAACCTGCCATATGAAATTGACAACTTAAAGCAACCTACCATATGAAATAGACAACATAAAGCAACCTACCATATGAAATAAATAGACAACATAGAGCAACCTACCATATGAAATAGACAACATAAAGCAACCTACCATATGAAATAAATAGACAACATAGAGCAACCTACCAGAACTAAAGATTTTTTTGAAAGCCCTAACCTTTGACCCAACACACTGGCAACATTACAAAAGAAACTAACCTTTGGGTTCATCATCTGATTGACTTGATTGCAGGATATCACCAGACATCTGCCTCTGGTCTTAATGAATAGAAAGTGAATATGTAAATGACAAGTAGAATCAGTTAATAAAAACCCAAGATAAAGGTAGACAATCTAATTATGTATTTTTTACAAGCTTTTATTTAATTCACTTCCTCTGTCATCAGTCTGTCTAGATCGAAACGCCCGAGTGAAATTACTGGCACTTCTAACTGACAGATACGGTTTGTAGTTGGAATGTGGGTCAAGAAATGAAGACAATGCATTATGACATTAAATTTGACTTAATTGCATGCCTAATAAATTTTTTATGAATTAATTAAAATTTTTCACCAAATTAGTAGGCAGTTCTATCCAACTACTCCACACGCGTCACCACGTTCAATAGCGCGGCATCATGTTCAATAGGCGCGCAATGGTTTTTAGTCATGTAACTCGATTGTAAATAAAACATATAAAGTACTGGAAAAAAATTCATAAAAAACATGTTTTAATAACAAGCTTTTATGTAATAATGCACTAAAAAGTAGAAAATAAATTACTAAATTACACTAATAACTAACTATAAAGAAATAGAATACAATCTAGTAGAAAAAAGAATTACACCAAGTGAACACAAAACAAAATGTAAATAATAGTGCGGAACATTATTAGTACTTTATAAATTTACATACGCTTTTTTTAGAAATCAGAGATAGCGTAAATTATTACTTCTGGTCAACAGAACTTACTCAAAATTTGACAGAAGACAGAGAATTGGATCTTTTACTTACATGTGAAATTGTTTTTATCTATCTGAATTAGTACTCAAGTTATAAGTTTTTGAAAAATTGAATGTAGAAAAAGTTCCACTTCCGGTTATCGGAAATCGCTCAAAAGTTAATACCTATCTACGATTTTTATATAGGGCCTAATGCTTATATATGAAATTTCATTAACCTAGCTTTAACGGTACTCAAGTTATTGTATTTACACACACGCACACACACACACAGACATAGGGACAAGATTGCAAAACTATGTAAAAAGTATGTTTTTAATCCATGTCAACAATAAATTCTCGTCAACACGTTCGCCTTAGATTATTTATGATTAGTAATTAGTTAGATCATAAGTCTAAAAATAGGCCGTTCTAGCAGTTTTTTGAGTTTACTAGATCCAGATCTAGTAGTGTGCTATTAGCTATTATTGGTACTTTTTTTCTAAAAAATTTTGTTTGAGATTTTCATCAAAATGCTTAGTCTAAAAAAAAAGTCGTCCTAGGCCGACCTAGGCTAAATAAAATACTGGTAATCTATCGTTTTAGGTATGTAAAATTGCCCGCGGCTAGTAATGTACGAAAAAGTTACCTCATTGTCAAGGCTTAAATAGAAGTATATTGTGATATATTTGTGTCAAATATTATAGATAAATGAATAATAAACCTAAATCAATGGCTAAATATATCAATATAGGCAAGAAATTAACTTTAAACAGCAGTGTTTGCCAGCAGGATTTGCTATATAAAAAGCAGCCATCTGTAAGTTAGAGTGGCTTCCCCCTGAATCTTGCACTATAAGTTTACAATAAAAAAAAAATAAACAAGATGGCTGCTATAGTAGATGAGCATGGTTGCATCTATTGGAAACATCGCTAGTCTTCATTTACTACTGAAAAGTTTTAATTCAATTGTTTAAAAACAGGTAGATTCTACATAAAAAAAGAAACAAGGAAACATTTTTGTATTTTTCAAAACATAAATCCTCCTCAAAATGTGAAATAATTAGGCCTATTCTAGCCGGAATAAGATACGCATGCGATACGCATGCGCAATGGAGAGAAACTACGACTTGCCTTCGCGGCGATGTTTTCAATGGTACTGCGCATGCGTGTGTTTACAACCGCAGAACCCTAACACTTAACACCAACCCTAGTCCTATCCCTAGCCCCTAACCCTAATCCTATACCTAACCATAACCCTAACCCTAATCCTACCCCTCACTCTAGCCCTAACCCTAGCCATAGGTCACTGCGCATGCGCAGAACTATCTTTTGCCGACTAAGTGGACTGGAGACGTTGGGGAGAAAAATCTTCCGACTAGTCACTTCGAAATAATTATTAAACTTTAAGGAATCACCTGTTTTTCACATTACTAGTCGCGGGCGATTTTACGAACCTAAAACTGGCTAAAACGAAAGATCACCAAAATATTCTAATCTAGATCTAAGCTAAGTGTAGTAAAATAAGTTTAGTTAAGACTACTGTAGACTTGTAGTTTGTAGACTTGACTTACGTCATCCATACACAATATGCCTAATTAATAATAATATTAATTATAATACACATGTAGTATGTAGGATTGTAGATTTAAATCTAGATCTAGATCTAGTACCTCTAGTGACACTCTAGTCAAGGTCCTAGAGTCCTAAATTTAAGTAGATCTACTACACTACAATTCTAAATTTTTTGTTTACTTTACTAAGTTGCAGCCGCCATTACTAACAACAGAAACAGGTCTGTTTGATGTCGTAAATAAAAACAAACCATGGCTGACTAGGCCTAGCAGACGAGATGTAGTATAGTAACATAATCCAACTTGATCTAATCTTGAAAAAAATCTTTGTTTTTGGCAAACCCGTACCCCAAGTATGATAAAAACAAGTTAATAAAAAGTCTAGTGACAATTTAAGCGCAATTTCCTTATGTTATCCATAACAATTTTTAATTTTTAATTTTTGTAAATATCATATATTATATGACATATAAACTCCTACACGATGCTCAGTTTAAATCATCCTAGGCCTACACGATGCTCAGTTTAAATGTTCTTAATTAATTTTTTGTGACCGAACGAAAGGATATTTTTGAAAACTTTCTTCGGCAATATTGTTCTAAATTATGACAGGAATCGATTGGTAAATGTTCCAAATCGCTAAGTGGTCTGGTTGCCGAGATATGGAGCAAAAACTGCATTTGTTTGAGGTTTTTTGGCTTAACCGGTAAATCCAGGAAGGAATTCCGGGAATTTTTTGGCCCACAATCATCCTTAGAACTTGCTTAACATATTTGCTTTTGGATTTAGTCCTCGATATTGCTTCGTTGAGGAGGAGATACGACTTAAAGCTGCGGACACACATCCATCCATCCATCCATCCATCCATCCATCCATCCATCCATCCATCCATCCATCCATCCATCCATCCATCCATGGTAAAAGTATATTTATGTTTAAATTAATTCTATTTCGTTGGTGGGGGGGGGGGGGGGGGGGGGTAGACGTTCTTCGGGGAGCTCCACCCGCCCGAAGAGGCGATGCCTGAAAAAAAAATAATTTAAAGTGCACCCCCGGAGAAAAAAAGTCTGAAAGAAACACTGATCACAAAACCCCAGGACCTAAAGTGACGTCACACTCAGCGTACCACCCCTCTTGAACTACAATTAAAAAACAAACAGCACATTTTTTTTCTATAAAATATTTAATAAGTTCGGTCTAAGCTGAGTTGAAATAGAAAAAAAAATACCTTGACCCAATGGCGTAAATTAAAAGCATGTTGTTATGTATGAGGTTTTTTTTTTAGGGAAAAGGATGGCAGGATACGTCGAAAGCGGGCACTTGTGGACGAGGCTGGGAGTGGGGGGTTCGAAAGTCAAATTTTTGTGGATTTGAAAAATGAATGGCCCTACTCAAAAGCCGAACTCATTTTGTGTGCAAAGGGAGACAACTCAATTAATGTGTTGATAAAAAACGACGAGGCTGTCTATATCCCTTTACTGAAAAGAAGAAAATCGGGGTGGAAAAGTTCCAGTGCTTTTAAAAGCTGGTTAGTATAAAGGTTTGTTATAATTATTCATCGATATAAAACTAAAACTCAAGTTTGTTTACAAGTTTGTATATATTATTTTTTTGTTTTTGTTTTGTTTTTTGTTTTACTGGTTACACTAGAGCATGTGCCAGTAGCGTCGCTATATATATATATATATATATATATATATATATATATATATATATATATATATATATATATATATATATATATATATATATGGAAATCTATGGTTTTAGGTACGTAAAATCGCCCGCGACTAGTAATGTGAAAAACAGGTGACTCCTTACATTTTAATAATTATTTCACATTTTGAGGAGGATTTATGTTTTGAAAATAACAAAAATGTTTCCTTGTTTCATTTTTGTACCTGTTTTTAAACAATTGAATTAAAATGAGCACTAGCGATGTTTCCAACAGATGCAACCATGCTCATTTACTATAGCAGCCATCTTGTTAAAGTTTTATTTTTATAGACTTATAGCGCGAGATTCACGGGGAAGTCACTCTATTTTCCAAATGGCTGCTGTTTATATAGCAAATCTTCCTCGCAGACAGTACTGTTTAAAGTTAATTTCTGGCCTATATTGATATATTTAGCCATTGATTTAGGTTTATTATTCATTTATCTATAATATTTGACACAAACATATCACAATATACTTCTATTACAACGTTGACAACAAGGTAACGTTTTCGTACATTAATAGCCGCGGGCGATTTTACGTCCCCAAAACGATAGATTACCATATATATATATATATATATATATATATATATATATATATATATATATATATATATATATGTATATATATATATATATATTATATATAGATTAATTAGATGCCTGTGTGTGTGTGTGTGTGTTTGTGTGTGTGTGTCGGCCTACATTGGCCTAAAATTTAATTATATGCAACATAATGATACATGTAAGTGTATAAGCTTTAATCCCTGCAGAATTAAGAGTAACGATGTTTATCTATAGTCTGTTGAATGTAGCATTGTTTTCTTTATAGTTAGCACGTTTACATCATTGTGCAGAGGCGTAGCGACCCTTCCCGGCGCCCGGGGACAAACTTTTCGATTTGCACCTCCCGTTCAAGATTTCGATTTGCACCCCCTTCAACCTTTCAATTTATTTTTCCAACCCATTTTGGCGTCCCCTAAGGTCGGCGCCCGGGGACATATGTCCCCCCCCCCGCCCCCCGCCCCCCCCTTGCTACGCTACTGTCATTGTGTCACTCCCCCCCCCCCCCCCCCAATCTCTCTTGTAATAGTTGTCGATTTGTACTTAAAAGACTATTTAACTTTAATTAATCGCTAATGGATCTGGAAAAAAGGCATTTAATTCTATACATTTGCAATATTTTGCTTTGGTGTCTGTTACGGGTCAGTGTAGGTTAGACTAGAATAGGATAGAATGATCTAGAATTAGGGGAGAGTGAGTGTGTGAGTTGAGTTTACCCTAGAATATTGTTAACCCCGGTGTGTTTGTGTATTGTTATCCCAAGGTCGAATGCGGTATAAAAGCTGGAGTGAATGGTTGTCAGGGGGGGTTAGTTGGCAGTCAGCGGGTTAGTAGCGGTTAGGACGAGGGCTGTTCTGTTACGCTTGAATGCATTGAGACGAATAAAAGTAGTGAAGTTAAACACGAAGCGTTGTTATTGATTTGAAATGAACCCAGAGCGTAACAACTGGTGGCCAGTATTAAAGTAAAGATAGCGCAATCATCAGAACGTCATTACCACTGGATGTCACCATCACTAGACGTCACCATCGCTAGTCACCATCACTAGACGTCATCATCACTGGACTATACCATCCTGGGACCATCAGAACGTCAGTACCACTGGGAGTCACCAGCACTAGACGTCACCATCGCTAGACGTCACCATCACTAGACGTCATCATCACTGGACTATACCATTCTGGGACCATAAGAACGTCATTACCACGGGGAGTCACCATCACTAGACGTCACCATCGCTAGACGTCACCATCACTAGACGTCATCATCACTGGACTATACCATCCTGGGACCTTACCTGAACAGAAAGTCGCAATCAGAACGTCATTACCACTGGACGTCACCACCACTAGACGTCACCATCCTGAGACCTTACCAGAACAGAAAGTCGCCATCACTGGGTTCTACCATCCTTGGACTTTATCAGAACAGAAAGTCGCCATCACGGGATTCTACCACTGGACTCTACCATCCTTGGACTTTATCAGAACAGGAAGTCGCCATCACTGGGTTCTACCATCCTTGGACTTTATCAGAACAGAAAGTCGCCATCACGGTATTCTACCATCCTTGGACCTTACCAGAACAGAAAGTCGCCATCACGGTATTCTACCATCCTTGGACCTTACCAGAACAGAAAGTCGCCATCACTGGACTCTACCATCCTGGGACCTTACCAGCACAGAGCCTTGCCGTCACAGGACTTTTGTCTTTGTCGATCCAGGTCTTCGTCTTCACATGACCCGGCCATTACAGGATTTACCATTGTTTGAAGGGCTAAAGTAGGGGAAGGGACTACTACAACAGATTTGTATTTGGGGTAAGTGTTTTTGAATTAGTCTGGGGCACGGTACGCACAACCGGGGATTACCCTTGCCTAACATTATATTGGGTATTACAATTTTGGCATCCAATCCTAAGTGGATAAGGTGAGATGGCTAGCGAAGGCTTAACGATAGAGCATTTTATAGCGTTAGGGGAAAGATGTAAACTAGAGGGAAGGGAGCTGTTGGAATGGGCTGAGACTAAATTGTTAGAGGCGGAGGCTAAGGCTAGGCAGCAGGCTGAAAGGGACGAGAGGGCTGCAGACAGGGCACTAACTAGGGCGAAAATTGAATCAGAAGAAAGACTAAAATTGAAGGAGCTGGAACTAGCAATAGAGAAGGGGAACAGGGAGGAAGACATAAAGGGCAGGGGTAGGGCACAGACCCCAAGAATTAAGCTGACTGGACTGAGAAACAGTAGGGACCAAACAGATATGGAGGTGGTGGTTGACATTTTTGAAAGGGAAGCCCGAGAAATAGGTTTAGAAGATAAGTTTTGGTGCCACGAGTTTAGGAAAGTTCTGCTAGATATAGGCTGCGAATCGTGGTTAACAGAATTAGGAGCAGAAGAGAATTATGGGAAGCTGAAAAGGGAGGTCCTAAAACACTTTGGTTTGACGGAGCAAGGATACAGTGATAAGTTTAATAGCGCCCAACCATCAGAACAAGACAGAGCAGGGAGTTACATTAGGAGGGTACGACACTACTTGAGAAGATGGGTCGAAGCTAGCAAGTGTGACAAGACATTTGACGGACTGTTTGACCTACTCTTAAAAGACAAAATAGTGAGAACAGTCGGACAAGACATAAGACAGCACATCCTCAGACAAAACCCGAGGACAATAGCAGACGTAGAAAATGCCTGTGACAACTACTTTGACATCTACCCAGACAGAAAATTAAAACCGATCGACGTGACAGAAGACGCATTTGTTGCCCCCATGGCACTTGCATCAGGATCTAGGAATCCCTTTAGAGAGGACAAGGACAAACGAACCCTAAGACCTAGATCTAAGAGCCCCATTAGAGAGGAATGGGTCACAAGAAATGAAGTCACCCTTCAACGGGAGAGAAGAGGACAAAGCCCGGTCCAACCTAGGCCGAGTAGTAATATTAGTCC